TCAAATACTCTCCCTGGAGTACCAACAACAATATGTGGTGCTTCAGCCTGCAGCTTTTGCATTTCATTTCGAACATTGGTTCCACCAATGCAGGCATGACAAGTTGCTCCCATATAATCTCCAAGAGCCAGAATTACCTTTTGGATCTTTAATGCAGGGGATAATAGCTCTCTGCTGAATAGCTGAAGGCTTCTCGAAACCATAAGCATAGATACCCCGGAGAAGGGATTCTTTTAAATTCATATCATCAAAGTTATCAACAATTTCATTCCAGTTGCTCTCGATGACACCATCGGGGTCCATTCCCTCAGGGCCGCCATGTTCTCTGTTGTAATCAGCGGAGCCACCAGACATGTCCGACTAAACCACTCAGCGCTCGACTGAAAAAATTGTCTGGCTTTCTGATGCATTGAAAAGAATTGCAAAGATCATGGCCTGTATCAGGCACACTTTAGTCTCCAAACTGACATTTTTGCTCTTCGGTACTTTGGGACAGGTCTCTAACAGTAGACTTTTCCCAATACAATTAATCTTTTAATTTCCTGGCTGCTGGTACCAAGAGTGTTGATTGTAGAGCCAAGCAAACTGAAGCTGTTAACAATCTCAATCTCTTCATCATCCATAATCATGCTGCCAATTGTCACAGTGGTGAGAATATGTTTCCTTGACGTTGAGCTTCAATCCATATTGAAGGCTGCAGTCCTTGACCTTCTGCAGCAAGTACTTCAGATCCTCCTCAGTTTCAACAATCAGGGTTGTGTCATCTGCATAACGCAGATTGTTGATGAGTCTACCTCCAATCCTGATGCCACATTTTTCCTCCTATAGCCCAGCCTCACAGATAAGCTGTTCCACATATAGATGGAAAAGATATGGAGATAGGATGCATCCTTGGTGCACATCCTTCCCAATTTTGAACCAGCAGTGTTTCCTTCCTCTGTTCTGACGACTGCCAACTGATCAAAGTATAGGTTTCACATTAGCACAATCAAGGGTTCTGGGATACCCATTGTACTCTGAGTCAGCCACAATTTGTTGTGATCTACTGAGCATTTAGATAAGACAGACTAGGAAGAAGTGTTGGCCATCCACTTCTGAAATAGCAGGGCTTTGAAAACCCCATGTACAATAGAGCACATGTAGACTAGCAGATATAGTAACTGAGGCTGAGCTCTCAAGTATGGAAACACATAGGAGGAGGAACAGCTATAAACAGACACTAGTAATTGGAATATGGAATGTGAGGACCATGAATATAGGAAAATTGGGTATTGTTAAGAAGGAAATGGAACACATAAATATTGACATACTACATATTGGTGAAATGAGATGGACTGGTATGGGACATTTTGAGTCAGGTGATTGTATGATCTACTATGCTGGAGACAAAAAAGGTGAGGATAAATGGGGTTGCTTTCATAGTTAAAAAATTCATTTCTAGAATCATCTTGAAATACAATGTTGTAAGTGACAGGATAATAACCATATGCATAGGAAGTCCAGTGAATCCACTATCATTCAAATATATACACCAACAACCAGTGCCAAAGAGGAGGAAATAGAAGATTTCTACCAACTTTTACAGTCGAAGATCAATCTAACATGCAGTCAGGATGCATTCACAATAATGGGTGATTGAAATGCAAAAGTTGGAAATAGAGAAGAAGGATCAGTAGTTGGAAAAGATGGTCTTGGTGACAGAAATGAAGCTGGAGATGGAATGATAGAATTTTGGACAAGCTGTGCATGTATGTGTATAAATGAAAACAAAGAAAAGCCAACCTTGCTTAAAAACATATATTCAAAGATTATAAGTAAACTAGTAGAATTTTTAAAAAAATAAATTTTTTTTAAAAGAAAAAAGCCAAACCTGGTAATATCCATTTGACTAATGGCAACCCCATGTGTAGACTGATCTGTAAAGTAATCTTGACTGTAATCTTGATAGCGACAGATTGCCAGGTCTTTCTTTGCGGTAGCTGAGGGTAGGTTTGAACCATTAGCCTTTAGATTAGTATTGTTGTTAGGTAACATCCACCTGGGTCTGACTCATAGCAACCCTATGAACAACAGATCTGAACTTGTACCCTATGCCTTCCTTATAGTCCCTGAGACACTTGAGCCCATAGCTGCAGTCACTGTATTAGTCCATCCAAGCACAATGTCCAAGGAATGGCCCCTCTTAACCACATCCATCCTTGCCTCCAACTCCATTATACCACCCAAGTACCTTTTATTTATACATACATTAAACGTGTGCTGATAATTTTATATACTATCAAAGTTTGAGTTATTAAAATACATTGTATGAAAACATTAAGTAGTCCTCCTCGCATACTTCCATTTCTATTTCTGCATGGTATTCTTTGGAACATTTAGAGATACTTAAAACTGGCTGTTTCTCCTTCCTGTGTCCTAATATTTATCTTGGCTTTCTTGCTTGAACTTGTCATAAATTGAGCTCATTTCATTACATTAAAGAATCAGTACATAATTTTATTGATCCCATGTAAAAAGAGGAAAGGCCAGATGGGGATCACCATATTTGACTTATATTAACTCCACAGCGGGGAACTTCCCCATCATCATCCATAGCCAGAAGCAGTTCCCACGAGATTAGATATGTTCCCCAATGCTCCCACACCTCTTTCTACTAATTCCAACGCCAAACCTGTTGTTCTTCTAGGTCCAAAATCTGTTGCAATAGCTCATAGAGCACATGGAATCATACTCATGATTGTAGGGAAGTTAACCGAATACAATTTCAGTTGGCAACAAGATAAAATTTCTTAGTCAGGACTGCTTCTGAAACATGCTCACAGCATTAGACCAGTGTTACAGAGTTTTTCATTCTGCCAGTTATGGGTCAGTCTTCCCACCAGTCCTCCTGCAAACTTTGGTGAAGGCTTTTGTCAGTCGGTAGGGTAGCAGTCCCAGGGTCAAGTCTGTCCCATGTTGGGTCTCTGGTTCTTTGCTGTAACCGTTGCTGCTTTTCTGTAAGTCTGTTTGGTGCAAGAATCTGGCCCCAGAGTGCATGCTGCATTTTCTGATTCTCTTTTGATGGTGAGATTCTCAGTTTCTGCTTTGGAATCTGCTCAATTTAATCACAAAACTTTGTGAACATATCTTTTGTTCTTAACATATCCCCCCCCCTTTTTTTGTATTGCTTCTAACTTTAAGTTTTGTGGTACTTCTGGAACACTTATTTTTGTTTTCTTAAAATGGTATTTCCTACTCATTTAAGAAAAAAGAAACTTTATTTCTAACTTAATTTACTTCATTAATGCTATTCCTCAGGGTTTTGTTGACTTGTTTTGTATTTAATTGTTATTAAGAATATATACATCAGAGCATACACTACCACCAGTTTCAGTGATATTGATTACATTTTTCAAGGTGTGCAAGCATCTTCACTCTCCATTATAAGATTGTTTTCTCCTCAAATAACAAACTCACCACCCCCTTAATTTCCTGTCTGGTCTTTCTGGTTTCTTTTGTTTATTTGATCCTGTATTGATGGCTCAATGAACATGTTTACTTGTAAGCTAAACTTGTCTGGTTTTAAGGCAGCTTTGGGAATTAGACTTACCAGCATGTTTTGCAGATTCATCTAACCTCATTGACTATAGAAAGTGATTCTATGAGAATATGAGATTCTTTTTTTTGCCCCTTTTTGATCAGCATTCTTTTATAACATCCTTTAACACAGTATTCAGTAATTATAGCCAGGCACTTACCAGATCTGATTCTCTGTTTTTCAAACTCAGAAAGCCCTCTTTAAGAGGTTTTTAAGATTGAAAGGAAAAAAAGAAAACATAGTTTTTAAAACCCTCACAAGTAAAACTACAGTTATTTTATGTGACTTGTACATGCTCTGTTTTTGTTTTTGTTTTGGTCAGGTAGATAGATGATCAGCTGAACACACTCTTGAAGGAATTGCAGATAACAGAAGAGAACACCAAGCTCCGCTATCTTACCTGTTCTTTTATTGAGGACATAGCAGCTGCCTATTTTCCATACTGCACAGTCAAACCATTTGGCTCTTCGGTGAATAGTTTTGGGAAACTTGGATGTGATTTGGACATGTTACTGGATTTAGATGAAGCTGGAAAACCGAATCCTCAAAAGGTAATTTTATTTCCATGGGTAAAATTAAGAAATTAGGAATGAAGGGGAAATTATCTGACTTAACAAAATGGTTAAATGTTGGTTTCTATGCTTAATGAGCACTGTGAGGAAAGAGTTGAGTCTATTTCTTTGGGCCTAAAAAGTATTTGTGTATGTGAATGGGAACTATCAAATGAGTATCCTTAGGGTTCAGAAGGTTTTTACAGTATAGTTAACAATGCTATTACTAGGATTTTAGATTGTCCGTATCCTTATTTTTAAATGTATGTATATTCTAGTTAAGAAACACTGGTGGAATAGTTGCTGTTAGCTGTTGAGTTGGAACTGACCTATCACTGACCTTTCAGCAGGTTAATTGCATGAGAGGAGTTTGCCCATCCTACTTCCGGACAGCATCTATTGGATTCAAACCACTTGCCTTAGGGATTGTAGCACAGCTTTTTACCACTAGAGCTCCCTGATAGAGTAAACTGTTGAACTGCTAACTAAAAGATTGGCAGTCTGAATCTTACCAGCGGTTTCTTGGGAGAAAATGAGGCTGTTCTCCCCTCATTAAGATTGATAGCCTTGGAAACCTGATACAGGGTTGTCTTGAAACAGAATTGGCTTCACAGCAGTGTTTGTTTTGTTATTCTAGTTAACTGAAATGATTTTAAATTGTCTTGGGAGTTTTAATTTTAATTTTTTGTTTTGATTCAAAGGCCATAAAATAAAAATTAGAACAGACCCACTTCCATCGAGTTATTTTGCTTCATAAAGACCTGCTGGATTTCTAAGGCACTTAATCTTTATGGGAGGAGACTACCCCTTTTCTCCCTTGGAGCAGATGGTGGATTTGAGCTGCCAACCTTTTGGTTAGTAGCCCATTTTTTTATATAGGTTTACTCTATCTTACTGTATTGCCCGATTTAGCATTAAATTACATCTTTCTTTCTTTACTGCTTCACACTTAAATCCTGTTTCGTTAGATGCTAAGATTGTCACTGTACCTTGTTCTTTGAGTGCTTGTTTTAGTTTTTATCCACAGTTGCAGGACAGTTAGAATATATGATAAGCTTTTTCATATGTATTACACTTAGTATACCTTATTGCACTCTGGTGGCCTAGTGGTAAGGAGCTGTGCCACAAACCCAATGTTATGCAGTTTGAATCCGCCAACTGCTTTGCAGGAAAAAGATGGGCATGCTCCTATTGCTTTACTGCCTCTGAAAACCTGTTGGAGGGTCAACTGTGAGTTGGTTCTGACATGATACAATATATCAACAACATAAGACCTTATATGCTTAAGTAATAGATTATTATTGGTGAACAAATGAAAGTTACTTACTAACTATAGTAATAAATTTAACTCTCAGTATTCGTAAGGGGTGCTCTGGTGGCCTAGTGGCAAAAAGCAGCATTGCAGTCCTGAAGGCACATGATTCAAATACATCAGCTGCTCTACAGGAAAAAGATGGCAGTCTCCACCAGTGTGATTAATTGCATCTGAAAACCCACTGGAGGGTCAGCTGTGAGTGGTTCCGACTCGATGTACACAACAACAACAACAACAATATAAGTGTGTGAAAGATACTTAAATGGGACTGTGTCATATAACTTACTATACTAAGCTATGCTTTGATCCTTCTATCAGTTTACCTAATTTTCCATCACCTTTCCTTTACCTAATAAGACTGTAAGAGCCCTGATGGAATAGTGGGTAATATATTGGGTTGTTCTTGTTAAATGTCATCAAGTCAAGTATGACTCATAGTGTCCATATGAACATAAGACCTGAACCCTGTTCTATAAACTGTCATTATTTTCCTGTGTTCATAGAATTTCCAGAGGCATGTGGTTTAGAAAGTAGATGCCACTCCTTTCAAACCTGAATCAATCTGGGAGCTCCACCAAACATTGCCCATGGTGGGTAACCATTATGGCATTTGATACACTTATGCCACAACGTTCAGCATCACAGCAATCCTAAATTACTTCAGTACAACAAATAGACCCTTTCTTTACTACTTAGAAGAATATTCATCCCAAAATCAATTCACTCTAGGCCCTTGGGCCCTACTACTTTTTAAATACAGGCATGGCCACCAAGTGCTGGCTGACTGTAAATCAAGAGACTTCCAGCCCAGTGCTCATTGTTAGCTAAGTCTGCTAAGTTCAGTCAGTTGACACCCAATTGTGTACCAAAAAAATTTAAAAAACCAACCAAATGTTCCATATTCAAACCTCATCAAGACACGAGAAACCATCTTCCAGAATCCAGCCACTTCACTGGATCCACCAGCCACTCTCTGGGAGAAAAATGAGGCAGATTGCCTCTGTTAAGATTTGCCACAACCTCAGAAACGCAGAAGAGAGCTGCCATGATTTGAAATCACCTTGATGACAGCTGTGGTGATGGTATACCATTGAGTCAGAACTGACTAATTGCTGACCCTTAGTGGGTTTTCAGAGGCAGTAAGTTGCTCAAGAGGAGATTCCCTGTCTTTCTCCCAGGGGACACTGATGGATTTGAATCTCTAGGCATTGGCGAGATGAGATGGACTGGCATGGGGCAATTTGAGTCAGATGATCATATGATACATTACTCGAGATGAAAAGGTGAGAAAAAATGGAGTTGCTTTCATAGTTAAAAAAGTCATTGCTAGATCAATCTTGAAGTACAATATTGTGAGTGGCAGGATAATATCCATACGCATACAAGGAAATCCAGTGAATACCACTATCATTCAGATATATGCACCAACAAACAGAGCCAAGGAAGAGGATATAGAAGATTTTTACCAACTTACAGTCGGAGATAATCGAACATGCAATCAAGATGCATTGATAATAATGGGTGACTGGAATGCAAAAGTTGGGAACAGAGAAGAAGATTCAGTAGTTGAAAAACATGGACTCGGTGACAGAAATGGAACTGGAGAGAGAATGATAGAATTTTGCACAATCAATGACTTATTCATAGCAAATACGTTTTTTAAGAGACATAAATGCAGGTTATATACCTGGATTTCACCTAATGGTATGTATAGGAATCAGATTGATTACATCTGTGGAAAGAACCGCTGGAGAAGCTCAATATCAGCTGTGAAAACTAGGCCAGGAGCTGATTGTGGAACAGACCACCAACTACTCATATGCAAGTTCAAGCTGAAGTTGAGGAAAACTAAACCAAATCCAAGGCAACCAAAATATGACTTTGAGTCTATCCCACCTGAATTTCAGAACCATCTCATGAACAGGTTTGAGGCCTTGAACACTAATGAACGAAGACCATATGAGTTGTGGGGGAGGATATCAAGGGTATCATCCAGGAGGAGTGCAGAAAGTCATTGCGAAGACAGAAGAGGAAGAGAAGACCAAAATGGATGTCAAAAGAGACTCTGAATATTGCACTGGAGCGCAGAGTAGCCAACGCACAAGGAATTCAAGATACTAAAGAGTTTAATAGATTTCAAAAGGCGGCACGGGATGATAAAGTAATATATTACAATGAAATGTGCAAGGAGTTGGAGTCAGAAAATCAGAAGGGCCGAACTCGCTCAGCATTTCTTAAGCTCAAGGAACTGAAGAACAAATTCAAACCTAGAGTTGCTATAATCAAGCATGCTTTAGGCAGAATGTTAAATGATAAAAGTATTAAAAGAAGATGGAAAGAATATACTGAGTCACTGTATCAGAAGGAATTAGCAGACACAGAAGCATTTCATGAAACAACATATGCGCAAGAGCCTCTGGTGATGAAAGAAGTTCAAGCTGCTTTGAAGGAAGTGGCAAAAAAATAAGGCTCCAGGAATAGATGATATACCAGTTGATATATTTCAGCTAACAGATGCTGCCCTGGACATGCTCACCAAGTTGTGCCAAGAAATCTAGAGAACAACCACTTGGCCAACTCACTGGAAGAGATCTAACTTTGTTCCCATCCCAAAGAAAGGTGACCCATGAGTGTGGAAACTATAGAACAATATCATTGATTTCACCTGCAAGCAAGATTATACTGAAGATTATCCAAAAATGACTGCAACAGCACATCAGCAGAGAACTGCCGGAAGTCCAGGCTGGGT